TTTTTGCTTATGTGGTGCTGAGGAATCGAACCCAGGGCCTCATGCATGCAAGGCAAGTGCTCTACCACTGAGCCAACTTCCCAGCCCGTCCCCAAAGCTTTTTTGTGCAAGGCTAGTACTCTACCACTTGAGCTATACCTCCACATTTGGATGTTTTGGGTTTTTGTTTGTTTGTTTGTTCATTTTTGTAAGTTGTGGGGCTTGAACTCTGGGCCTGGGTGCTGCCTGAGCTCTTCTGCTCAAGGCAAACACTCTACCACTTGAGCCTCAGCACCACTTCTGGTTTTCTGGTGGTTCATTGGAGAGAAGAGTCTCACAGACTTTCCTGTCCGGTCTGGCTTTGAACCATGATCTTCAGATCTCAGGCCTCCTGCATAGCTATGATTACAGCACCCAGCTTGTACTTGAGTTATGAGCCTTCTTTGCCATGTGCTGACTTTGTCTTTTCCCTTTTAGATCGAGTGGTAGATGATCTAAACCCAATGTTGAACTTCACCCGAAAGGAGGTGGAAAACCTACTGCACTTTGTTGAGAAGGAGCCAGCTCCCCAGACATCCTTGAATATAAAGGGCATCAAGGAGTCAGTCTTGCAACTTGCCTGTCTGAAATTCCCTCACCTCATCACCAAGGTACAAACCTGGGATGCTCAAGAGTCCCCAGCATGGCAGTCTTAGTCACGGAAGGTTTGTCTGGCCACCTTGCTTCCAAAGATGAAATGGCATTTCATGCAGACAGCTTGGGCTTCGCACAAGTCCCCTTCGCATTTCCAACTACCTGCCTCCACCTCTGATCCTAGAAATGCTCAGCTATGTGAAATAATTTGAATATTGTGTTCCACAGTGGAAAGAGAAGGCAGAGTTCTGAAAAATGACGATTTTTTTATTCTCTGAACTCCCCCAGCCTTTCTAAGAGTATTAGGAATCTACAGATGGTGTTCTGTTAGATTTATAAAGTATATTCTTATTGTTGTTGTTGGACATGGGGCTTGAATGCTGGGCCTGAGTGCTGTCCCTGAGCTCTTCAGCTCAAGATGAGCACTCTGCCTGCCACTTGAGCCTCAGCTTGGAGATAAGAGTCTAACAGGCTTTCCTGCCTGGCCTGGCTTTGAACCATGATCCTCAGATCTCAGCCTCCTGGGTAACTAGGATTACAATTACAGGACTGAGCCACTGGTACCTGGCATTTTTTTTTTTTTAATGCCAGTCCTGGGTCTTAAACTCAGGGCCTCGGTGCTTTAACTGAGCTTCTTTGGCTTATCACTTGAGCCATAACCACCGCTTCCAGCCTTTTCTAAATAGTTTATTGGAGATAAGAGGCTTACAGACTTTCTTGCCTGGGCTGGCTTTGAACCGCAAACCTCAGATCTCAGCCTCCTGAGTAGCTAGGATGTCAGGCACGAGCCACTGGCACCCAGCTTGAAGCACATTCTTGAAGACCGTTGCCTGTGTATCTGTGAGCAGCCCCTTCCTAATTTCTAAGTAAGGCCTAATGTAATTAAATTCCACACCCCTCATGTCCCCAGGAGCCTTTTGAGCACGAGTCACTGCTCCTCAACCGAAAGGATCACAAGCTGACCAAGGCTGAGAAGAAGGCAGCAAAGAAAAGCTATGAGGAGGACAAACGCACGTCAGTGCCCTATACCCGCCCATCCTATGCACAATATTACCCCGCCAGTGACCAGAGCCTGACCAGCATCCCCGCCTTTAGTCAGAGAAACTGGTAGGTGGCTGAAAGGAAAAGGCTTGCGGGTTAGGCCTGACCCAAATACCTTTCGATTAATTTCCATCGGGCTGCTGTAAGCTGGTAAGTTGTGCTCTAGGGTCAGGTGTCAAAACACTCCAGTAGTCCTGGTGTTTTAGGTGACTGTATTTTTTTTTTTTTGTCAGCTGTGGGGCTTGAACTCTGGGCCTGGGTGCTGTCCTTGAGCTCTTCAGCTCAAGACTAACACTCTACCACTTGAGCCACAGCACCACTTCCTGTTTTCTGAGTATTTTATTGGAGATAAGAGTCTCATGGTCTTTCCTGCCTAGGCTGGCTTTGACCCAGGGTCCTTAGATCTCCGCCTTCTGAGTAGCTAGGATGACAGGTGTGAGCCACCTGCAACATACTTTTGACTACTTGTCTGTAAAAGTGAGGTGCTCGCTTTGACACTCAGGTGAGCCCTTCTGAATTCCTGGGTGGTAGGGGGAGTGTAGCTTCGCACACTGCAGAAGCTCAGCCCTTCCACACAGCTGCATTCCTACCATGGCACCGTGGCCCTAGCCCTCAAATGGCAGTGAAGGTCAAGGTTAAAGGCCATATTGTCCCAATGTCTTAGATTGCAGTTGGGGAACTTGCTGCTCCTTCATGGAATTTCATTCTGTGACTGTGCTACAACGAAGCTCTAAAAAACAAAAACAAAAAAAAAGGTTCTGATGGCTCACGCCTGTCATCCTAGCTAGCTACTCAGGAGGCTGAGATCTGAGGATCACAGTTCAAAGCCAACCCAAGCAGAAAAGTCCATGAGACTCTTACTGTGGAGGCTGAGATCTGAGGATTACGGTTCAAAGCCAGCCCGGGCAGGAAGGTTCAAAGCCAGCCCGGGCAGGAAAGTCAGTGAGACTTTTTTTTTTTTTTTTGGTTGACCGTGAAGCCTGAACTCTGGGCCTGGGCGCTGTCCCTCAGCTCTTCAGCTCAAGGCTAGTGTTCTACCACTTGA